GCTGCAATATAACAAAGAGTGAAAAATTTAAGGGGGTCTGAATACTTTCCGTACCCACTGTGTGTGTGTGTGTGTGTATATATATATATATACACACACACACACACACGCACGCACGCACGCACTGCTGTGTGTGTGTATGTGACTTGCACACAAGGTGCTTAGGGGCATTAACGGGGTGGTGCTGTGATGACCGTATCATTGTGGGGGATACATGGAAAGGTATTAAGGGTTGTTGGAGTCTGTGTACAGACTTGCCACAGATCGGGCATGGTTCCACCAAGGTCCAGACAGCAATTTAAGATGGCTGCATCTGTGTACAATGTTTGATTATTGTATTACTGTAAAAATGGGTTTTTGGGGGGGTTGATTTGGTTGACACCACAGCTCCAACCTTGATTGTAAGTCATTTATGATGAGTCCAGTTTGGGTGTTTTTGGTTTTAATCTCAACAGCCCATTCCTCATGCCTTAAAAGTTCTACCTAATTTGCTGGTTACAATATAAATAAGTAAAAGCTAATAAGTAACTTAAGGTCATCAGTGCACAGTGCACTTGCCAACCTTGACTTCTCGAGGAAGCCCCCAAAACACCAGAGCATGGAAAATAAGAAGTTACCTGATACTTAACTAGCTAATTATTTGTTACCGTTAATGGGCTAAAATTAGTGACCCGCGCAGGATGTGGCAGTTTTGACATTCGCCTATTATTACGCCAAAGGGTTAGCGAGCTAACGCAATTACACTAGCGTTAAATGACATACTATGGTTTTCTTATTTAGCACATAGGAAATCTCTACTACGGAATATTTCGAAGAAACCCTTTCATATGACAAAATAAGCAAGCAGTTAAACTAGCTGAGAAAATATCAACTTTATCTGGACCGCTCTGGTTCCAGGTGATAGTCCAAGCCCAGGCAGTTGAAAAGCGCCTCCTATTCAAGATGTTGGTTGGCTTGGGGTCTACCGTCTTTGACTAACGCTGCTCCAGTCTCTCGGGTTTGTTCACCTTCAGCTATACTTACATGTTAGGGTTTCTCTTGAAGGCATTAGTTATGTCTTTGACTACTCTCATGACCAGCACGTCAACCTCCTCTTTCGACTCCGCCATTTTTAGAGTACCGGATGACGTCACACACATTTCTTCTTCTTCTTCTTCTTCTTCTTCTTCTTCTCACTCCTCCTCGTCCTTCTTCTTCTTCCCTGGTGTTTGACGACAGTTGGCATCTTAATGTTGCATTACTGCCATCTTGTGTCCGTAGTCTCTATCACCTTTCCATTATCTTAAATTCTATTTGAGTCCTGTTACCCTCAAGAAATCTAGTAACACTCTTCCAACTTCTACTATACTTTTAAAAATTATATGTGCTGTCCTTAATTCCTGAAACAGATCTATACATCTACCCTTTCTCTTGAATACCTCCTGCATGAAATAATGACATGATTCATTGTTTCTGCTTCCTGACAAAGATCACAATAGCCTGTCGGGCTATATCAAACAGTGTACTATTGAGGTTACTGTGTCCAGTTCAGATTCAACTAATTATTACGTTTTCTCTCCTCACTGTGCCTCTGTCAACCCCTGACTTCCCACCTTATTATGTACCCTATAGAGATGCCTTCCCTTAATTTCATGATCCTATTTCTGTTGCCATTTATGTGTAATTTTCCACCATACTAAACATTTTCTGCCTACTAAACATGTTAATGTTTCCTTCAAAATCCCTTTTCCTTGTTGCTTCTTTAGCTAGTTTGTCTGTCTTCTCATTTCCCAGTATCCCCACATGTGTTGGAAACCACATGATGGCGACTTCCTTAACTTGACTAACCCTTGAGTATATACTCAGTGTTTCATACAGAAGATCCTGATGACTCCTACTGGTGCCTAAATGAATATTTGTGAGGACAGAAAATGAATCACTACATGTGAAAATGTTACTTGAGGTACTCTCTTCAACCCATTTTAAAGCTTTCAATATTGCATATAGCTCCACTGCATATAAAAAGTCACTTCCGGCTTTTCCCGTTTAGGAGTCGCTACAGCAAATCGTCACACTGACAACTCACATGTTGACATTTGGCACGTGTTTTACGCTGTTCAGATAATTAGAAGTCCTTATAGCAATCACAACCTTACAACTGGGCACTACCACTGCTGCTCTTGTAGCCTCTGTCTGAAGATCTTTTGATCCATCTGAATCAGAATCAGAATCTGCTTTATTGGCCAGGTGTGTAGGACACACAAGGAATTTGACTCTGGTACATCGGTTCTCAATGTGCATGTACATATCCCCATGCACGGGGCAAGAGTTAGCTCCAGTGAACTGTTGAAGATAAATGTGAAGATGTAGATCCAGCTTTGGTCTTATCAATAGCCACACTAGCACATAAGTCCACAGTACCATAGGACTACACAAGTGATTATTTACATCTGTACTGACAGCCAATTTATCACCAGGCCAACCAACGCTCACTCTGTGCATCCTGGCTCACATCTGTAACACTTTCTTAATTGGATGATTAGCAATGTGACCTTTCAAAATAATCCAAAAATTTACTAGTAACTGCTTCAGCTATAATTATAATGGCATATATTCTATGTTTTTAAATAAATGACTATTTTCCAGCATGTATAAATCAACCAATATTGAGGGGAATAACCATGGTTGTGTAACTAATAATACCGCTGTAGGAATGTATGTTGTTTGATCTAATCCCATTTCACTTGCCACTTTATTACTGATCCTTGCAAAACATTTACTCTTCTCTCTGTCATTCTCCCAACATGGAAGAATACTTTAGTTACAGGATTTCTATCCCCTGATTGACCTTGAAGATTTGCCCAGTAACTCATTAATAACTGACTCCATCTGAGATTCTCTAGCATTTCTCCCATCTCAACATGAAGAGCATTTCCTGGAGTAGATTTGACAGCACCACAGCACAGTCTTAATGCTTGAGCTTGCACCATCTCCAACTTCTGTAATGTTGTTTTAGCTGCCAACCCATATATACAACTTCTATAAGCTATAGGTCTGACCAGTGCCTTAAATATTCTTTAGAGCTCCCCTGCTCAGTACCCACTGTGATCCAGTTGGACACCTCATTACATTTAAGACTTTCTTACATTTAGAAATAACCTTATGGATATTGTATGTTCATTCCACATCAACCTTGAGTCAAACCATAACTCCAGAAATCTAAACATTTTCACTAGCTCTATTATTTTCCATTACATTGTAATCCCTACCTCAGAGGTTTTCTGCTTCTTTCTGGTGAATGTTACAATTTTAATCTTTAATACTGAAAAATTAAAAACCCAAGAATAAGACCATCCTTCAACCATATTTACTGCATTTTGTATCTTTTATCTAATATGACCAATATTTTTCCCTATTTTCCACAAAGTTCCATCATCCACAAAGAGCAACTGTCCTATATCATATAGTACTTGGCAAAATGCATCATTTGCTATAATAGTACTAATAACACTGCCCTGTGGGGTCCTACTTTCTACTTTATATTTCCTTGATAAAGTAGTCCCAATTCTAACTCAAATAAATCTATCAAATAAGCACTATTTTAATGCAATTAAATGTTCACACAAACTGTCTGTCCTTGAGTTTTAATGGGATGTGGCTAAGTAACTTACACATGCACTACCACCACCTACTGGACTGGAGGGTGAATCATTAGATTGGAAAAATCATTCTCTGTTTTAACCCTGTCTCTTTTAAATACTTAATTAGAAAACCTTTTCAGTCTTTTTCGATATTTTTCAAGTTATTATGACATAACATGGATATTATGACATGAATAACAGAGCAGTATTCTGCACATACTCACAGAATATCCATCCATCCATCCATTTTCTATACCGCTTAGTCCCAAACGGGGTCACGGGGGGGCCGGAGCCAATCCCAGCCAGCTGCCTGCGAGAACTCACAGAATACTGCTCTGTTATTCATTTGCACACTGTACTGTACATATGCAGGTACTGTATATTTATCTTTGCACTATTTACATCTATTGAACTGTTAACTCATGTAACTTATTTTATTATTCTGCACTATTTCATTCCATTTCATCCCATTGTGCTAGTGTTTTTAAGCTAACTGTACATTATCCATTACTTTTAATTTAAATCCATAGTCTGTTGTATATTGTACATTACCCTACATAGTTTGCTGTAAATATCAATTGTTTATCTATCAGTACATTAGTACTTACTGTAGATACTGCACACTCTGCTGCTGTTGTTGCACTTCTGGTTAGATGCTAAACTGCATGTCATTGCCTTGTACTTGTACATCGGTAATGGCAATAAAGTTGAATCTAATCTGAATATAATCTAATACTGTATTTTCTAGTCTTAGACATACTATTATTTTGTCATTATGACAATATACTCTATTTTCTTGTAATAATGTAACCCTTGCACAGCTCAGAGTGCATGCAATGTGCACATTGTAGAGCAGCAACTTCATAGCTCATTCAAATGGCTCTCTCTAAACAACACCTCCCATACCAACTTTCCACACAGTGATCAGTGTTGTGCTTAGGTGGTGCAATCCAGCCAGTCCTTGAGAATCACTGATCTAACAGTTAAATCTATGCACAATTATTAGTATAACACATGAATGCAGCTCATGTGCTGTGATTAATAAAAAAAAAATACTGTGCACATGTCCCAATGAGGGTACAGGAATTATTGATATCAGAATCAGAATCAGATTCTGCTTTATTGGCCAGGTGTGACGGACACACGAGGAATTTGACTCAGGTACATCGGCTCTCAATGTGCAAACAGTAAACCAGCATAAGGCTGTGTAATATAACAAAATAGCAGTATTAACATCAACAAACTGTGCAAACAATGCAGAAAAAGCAGTATGAACAGACAGTAAACAATGCAGACAGCAAAGGAATGTTCATTGAAATGAGATAAATAGGGATAGAAACAGAGTACTTAAAGCTAGAGACCTCTATGACTCTGTATAATCTGTACAATGTATATATACACAGGTATTGCACTGAGGGTTATTGTCTAATCATACTGTCGTGGGTTAAGTGTTCATCAGAGCAGGTAAAGTCAGTGTGTGGCTGCTGTTACTCACTCCAAGCTGCAGGGCGCACATTAGGGACTAGAAAGAATGTGATCCACTCTAGGGGTGTGTAGTACGATATCATATTAGATAGCTCCTTGGACCATAAATGTGAAACTATAGTTCTCGACCATACAATGACCGCCAGACAGTGATGTAAAACTTGAGCAAAATCATTTAAAGAATGTACGCACAATGTGAACAGGGCTATGATCGCAGGCGTCACTGCCCCAATGTAACAATGTTTTCTCTACATAAAGCAACAATACATAACTTGGCAGTTTGTATCCCCCTACAGTTGCTGAGTGTAACTGAGTTGTACCCAACTATCGTAATTACCAGATGCACTTTCACCCCTCCTCATTGGTGGTGATACATTTGCATTTGTTTATAAGACAAAGCTGTTACTGAACCAGAAAAGACAATGAAAGAATGGTAAAGTAATATTACATCCATCCATCCATTATCTATGCTGCTTATTCCTGAATAGGCCCGCGGGGTAGCCAATCCCAGCTGAGCGAGAGGCAGGGTGCACCTTGGACAGTTTATCACAGCAAATAATATTACAGGTTTTATTATTTTTTATTGTGATATTAAAGATGAACAGTCATAATAAAAATAATAAATAATGGCAGGGTAGTTTTACTGAAAATACAGCTTGTATTTTCAGACAGTTTGCTAAGTGTTTGCTTGTGGATGTGTGTAATGGAATGACTGCATAAAGGCCTTGGCAAGTGATGACTGCCTGGGATACAGTGGTGAAGTTAACTCTCTCAAGGAAAACAAGATCAGCTGCAAGAAGTGGTTTTCCCACAGTCTGCAGAAGAATGGCGCTGACACAGCAGTTGTCCAGTATAACAGATGGCCTTTCACTCCACTGTACATCAAATGTCATACACATAGTGAGGAAACCATTCCGCCAGGTGGTCAGGGCGGAGATGAGATGGAGCTGGAACAGATCCTCCTTGCTTACAATATTTCTGAAAAAATGTTGCCAGCTTGGGAGCTTTCTCCAAAGGAATATCTGACTGAATAA